GCCATGGTAAGGCGACACCCGTGGGAATACCGTGCGTGAGGCCGCAAAGTGATATGAGGTGTTACATGCTAGATCGGTGTGACTTAGAATTGGGGTCCCGACAAGTCCAAACACCGCGAAACTTTTTATGGATTTTTTATGGACCAGAAGACTCCCGATGGGCCAAAGCAGCACCTGGGGGTGCCCCGAGGGGGGCACAACCCACCAAGGCGCGCCATGGCCCCCTGGCGCGCCCAGGTGGGTTGTGCCCACCTCGGTGGCCTCTCGTACCCCTTCTTTGCACTATAAATTCCCAAATATTCCGAAACCCCTCGGGGTTAACCTAGATCAGAAGTTCCGCCGCCGCAAGGCTCCGTAGCCACCGAAAACCAATCTAGACCCATTCCGGCACCCTGTCGGAGAGGGGAATCATCTCCGGTGGCCATCTTCATCATCCCGGCAGCCGCCACGATGAGGAGGGAGTAGTCCACCCTCGGGCCTGAGAGTTTGTACCAGTAGCTATGTATTCAATTTCTCTCTCTCTCTCTCTCTCTCGTGATCTATATCATGGGCTTTGTTAATATAGTCAGATCATATGATGTTTCTCCCCTCTATACCCTTGTTGTGATGAATTGAATCTTTACCCTTTGAAGTTTTGTTTTGTCAGATTGAATATTCAGATATGAGAACACATGATGTATGTCTTGCGGTATGAATACTTGAGGTGATAATGGGGTATCATATTGATTCACTTGATATGTGTTTTGGCATTCAACTCGCGGATTCCCACAGTGACATTGGGGTAATCTATGAATAGGGGTTGATGCACGTTTTTATTATCTTTTCTCTGATAGACACTTTGGGGTCTCCTTGTAGTTCGTTGTGTTGGATTGATTATTATGAATATGAATTTGCTTTGGTGTTATTTTAGTACGAACTCTAGGATAGATCGAACGGAAAGAATACCTTTTGTATTATTTTAGTACGAACTCTTGAATAGATCGAACGGAAAGAATAGCTTTGAGGTGGTTTCGTACCCTACAAACAATTTCTATCTTTTGTTCTCCGCTAATAGGAACTCGAGAGTGATTCTTTATTGCACTTTGAGGGATAATCATATGATCCAAGTATGTTAGCACTGTTGAAAGCTTGCACTAGTGAAAGTACGGACCCTAGGCCTTGTTTTTAAGCATTGCAATACCGTTTTTGTGCCCATTTACTATTTGCTACCTTGCTTTTTTTATTTATTCAGATTATAAAAATATATTAATATCATCCATATTACAGTTTTATCACCATGTCTTCGCCGAACTAGTTCACCTATACAATTTGCCATTGTATTGGGTGTGTTGGGGACACAAGAGATTTCTTGTATTTGGTTGCAGGGTCGTTTGAGAGAGACCATCTTCATTCTACACCTCTCACGGATTGATAAACCTTAGGTCATCCACTTGAGGGAAAATTGCTACTGTCCTATAAAACTCTGCGCTTGGAGGCCTAACACATGTCTACAAAAATAAAGTTGCATAGTAGACATCACAATGCTATGGCGCTAGGCAGGCGAGTAGCCAAAAATCATCACTTCGCTCTTGTCTAAGTTGATTGTGAGACCCGACATCTGTTGAAAGTTGACCAAGAATTTCAAATTTGCGATGTTAGCCGTGTGGAGCCTTCTACCATGATAATGGTGTCGTTGGCATATTGCAGGGGGGAACCCCACCCCTTCCCACAAGGTGCGGAACCACACTGCGGATATGACCCTCGTTCTTGGCCTTGTTAGTATGGTAGCGAGGGCATCAACCACCATATTGAACAGGAAGGGTGATAAGGGGTCGCCTTGTCTAACCACACATAAGGTGAGGAAGAAGAGGCTGATCTCCCCGTTAATGTTCACCGCAGTACGCTCACAGGAGACCATCTGCATGACGCGGGTGACCCAACGATGATCGAAGCCCTTACGGAGCAAGACTTCCCAAAGGAAGGGCCCGTGCACTGTGTCATATGCTTTATGAAAATTAATATTCAGGAATACCGCCTTCTGCGGTCTAGCGCGGACCTCGTGAAGGACTTCATGGGAAACCAAGACCCCATCCAGAATATATCGCTCTTGGATGAAGGCCGACTGATTGGGATGGGTGATGTGGTCAACAAGCGAGGTGACCCTATTGGCGTACCTCTTCGCCAGAATGCGGAAGATCACATTGATCACCATGATCGGGCGGAACTGGCGGATATCCGAGGCCCATGCACCTTGGGGATGAGGGTGATGATCCCGTAGTTGAGTCGGGCCATGTCTATGGAGCCCACGTAGAACTCCTCGAAGAGCGCCATGACTTCATGCTTGACGGCATTCCAAAAGGTCTAGAAGAACTTAACCGGGAGGCCATCGGGGCCCGGGGCAGATGCCGGATTTATGCCCTTAATGGCCAACAGAACCTCCTCGGTAAAAGGAGCCGTGAGGGCAGCGTTCTCGACAGCCAAGACACGCTGGTGCTCGGCCCAGATATCGGGAGCCAGAGCCACCCCTCCCCGAGTGGAGGAGAAGAGGGCTTTATAAAAGCCATCGACGTGAGCGTGAATGTCAGTCGGTCGCTGGAGGGGTTATTGCCATCCCAAAGGAGAGGGATGGTGTTATGATGTCTTCGGCCGTTGGCAATGGCCTGGAAGTACTCCATATTAGCGTCCCCTTGGAGGACCCATCTCTGGGTTCCTCGCTAGTGCCAAAAGGCCTTCTCGTCTATGTAAATTATCGTAAGCTGGTCCTCAAGATCATAGTGGAGTAGTCACTCGTTTGGAGACAGGCCCGAGGCGTCCGCCCGGAGGTCTAATGTCTGGATGGAGGTGAGAAGAGCTTCCTTATGTTTCCTCAAATTCCGACCGAGGTTAGCACCCCATCCCTTCATAAACTGGCGTGCACGTTTAGCACAGCAGAGAGGGCCCGGTGAGGGGCAACCTGGGCCGCAACTCCACCTGTCACGGATGGCCTTGATGAACCCTTCCTGGTTAAGCCAGAAGGTCTCGAAGCGGAAACGCGGGGGTGGGGTGGATGATTGTTCTCCAAAGATAAGAGAAGTGGGACGTGGTCAGACCCGATCCTGGTGATTGTCCGGAGGGAGGCAAGGGAACAGCAAAGCTCCCACTCCGGAGACACAAAAACGGGATCCAGGACGGACCGCGTCGGGTCCGCCTGACGGTTTGTCCAGGTGAACCTGGCACCAACCCTATCTTCCGAGATCAGCAATGCATTCGTTGAACATCTACATCCGAGGGTAACTAGATTATTACTTTTATCTTCGGCCTAACCGATAAGGTTGAAGTCGCCTCCAACTACCACGAGCAATTGGGCGGCCGAGACCTTCCTCAGGAGCTCGTCGAGGAAGGCCTCGGAACGACGGTGGTCGGCGGGGCCATAGACTACGACAATCTCCCATTTGAAGTTGAGAGCCCGCTCGAAGACCTCCATGCTAACATAAAACTCGCCTATGTCCATGCTACCCACCTCGAAGGTGGCATCCTTTATGCCTAAAAGGATGCCCACCCGAATGGCCGGCATTCTCACTAGAAGGGAACCAGTGCGAGGCAGAGGTGGGTGCTCGACCGTTCAAGCTCCTGAAGAGCGAAATCCGTGTGCATGGTTTCTTGAATGGCCACTATGTTGATCCGTTCGTCTCGCATGTGGATTTAGCCAAGCACAAAGTTTCATGTACCAATTCCTAATAGACCGTTTTTCTGTCTATGGTTATTCCAGTTTCGAACAAACCTAGCAGGAGTGACTCCTGACTAGGATTTCGGTCATATGAATTGTCATCGGTCGTTTTGAGGTAACAAAGTGCATCATGGCAACTTCTGTATATTAAGAGAAGGCATGGGAAGGTAGAACAATGAGAGCTGCCACTGTTGTAAACGGAATGAATATGCCCGACTGTAAATATAAAGCCTGAAACATTGTTCGATTGTTCAGAGTTCAGTACAACTGAACTCTGTAACCTGAATGGATAAATGAGTGAAAGTAATGTAAGAGGCAACTGGTTATCAATTGCTGGTACCTTTTCTTACTACTCCCTCCTGTTAAAATTATTATATAGGAATAGAAGAGGTGTTTAAACTTGTATCTATCTCTTCTTCTCTCTATCCCGTATATCTCATGTAACGACCACTGGTCGATCTTCTGCTCCTCTCTCGATCTCCTCTCTCGATCAACCTTCACTGTAACTTGTCATCCAAGGCTTTGCCTCAATATATACACGCGGCCCGAGACAAAGGGTTCTACGCTTTCCAAACTACTTTACACCGCCGTCCCATAAAATAAGACGTTTTTACAAGCTAACATATCTTGCAAAAACGTCTTACATTGTGGGACGGAGGGAATACTAAAAGAGAGATAATTTTGTTGAAGAGATCTCCACATTCCCTACCTTTTTCACGGATACAAAGCCACCATGGTTGCGCTAAGTCTTATATGAATGAGCCAACCAATCAATCTTAATTTTATTTGTTTCTTTGCTCTGCGCGGTGGGCGCAGACAGACATTTTACAAGCTGTAATTGTACATTTGACATTAACAGTATCTTTCAGCTCAGTCAAAAACCAGATCTCCTGTCGCATAGATGTTGTAGAAGACGGTGGCGCTGAAATAGAGCACCGCCGTTAGGGTGAGGAAGGCCTGGAAGGATCCCAGCCACTGGACGAAGTATCCTGCTCCTACTGTGCTAACTATGGCGGCCACTGTCCCAACGCCGTTCGTCATTCCTGTTCAAACAGCACAGAGATGCCAGATATAAGTGCTGAAGAATCAATTCAGCAATGCAGAAATATGGATCTTGTTGTCTACTGATGCTATCAGAGAAGTTTGCGAACATACCGTGTAGGGATCCAGCGTATTTTGGGGCAATGTCCTGACGGAAAGAAAATAGTGAAACACATTCATATTGTTAGTGGAGCTACTGATTCAGAAGAACAGGCACTCTGAGTAGAGATGGTATGATCAGGATATGATATGAGGAAACATGAACAGTAGTTACCTGTACATTACAGAAGTACCCAGCTTGACTGCAGGAACTCAAACCCAAGGCAGCGGTCATGATAACTGCTGCAACCGATGGTGTTTGGGCAAATCTTAAACATAGCAATGACACACCTGGCCCGATAAAACCAATTGACTGCATAATTTTCCGGACTCGCACAATAGATAAGCCGGATTTGATCATGAAATCTGCAGAAGCTCCCGCAACATATCCTGATAGAGCCATGACGCCCCAAGGTATGGCGCTGAACCATGCAGCTTGTTTCAAATTGACATTATATACCTGTTGGGATAATAGTCAGAAACAACAGCTTATAGCTGACTTGTAAGGCAGACCCATTAGAATGATTTTAGAAGCTTTGATGACATACCGTTTTGAAGTACACCGGCATCCATGATAGTAGGACAAAGTAGCCCTGCATGGTATTTTGAATTTCAAGATGTCAATATCTAGATACAGTATCACAAAAGTTTAGTTCTGCTGGTCAGCCATTCTTACCCAGTTGTTTATCACATTAGCTACAATTATGGCCCACATTTCCATCTTTGAGAACACTTCTCTTAAGGATGGTGATTTGCTGCCTTTGACTTTTGATTTACTTCGTCCAGCTAGAATTAGTTGCAGCTCAGATTTGCTTATAGTACGGCTGTCAATAGGGTCACTTTCTACATTCAACAGCCATACAGAGAGCCACAAGTAACCAAGTGATGCGAAGAAGGCAAATGTTCCGGCGAGGCCTATATGTGACATGATGATCGGTGTTGCTAGGAAGCTTACGACGTTTCCAAGATGGAATCCTCCCATGGAAAGGCCAACAGCAGTGGCACGTTCATGTGTTGGGAACCACCTGTTTCATGTTCAAAAATGAAATTAGGACAGTCGCAAAAAAAAAAAGAAATTAGGAGCCTGAACTGAAGTTGCGTTTGGTTGCATCAATATATATGTAGTGGATGTTTCATTTTCGAGATTCTGTAAGTAGAATCGGTTACTGATATCTGTGAAAAAGAGCATTGGCTGACATACCCGAAAGTATAATTATGAGACGAAGAATACCTTTATGCACAGCTAAACTAATTCTTCTAGCACCCTATGTTTAAACTATAATAAATACTACTGTGATCTCAAAGAAGTAAAGTATTTTGGCTTATGCTGCTCCAATTGTTGGTGGAGGTTACTGCTTCTGTCTGTTCCTCTTTAGTAATCTGAGATCAATGTTGCTTGGAGCAGAGTACTCAAGTGTCCATGCTGAATAAATTTAATGGGTGATATGAGCTACTCCCTCCGTTCCTAAATATAAGTCTTTTTAGAGATTCCAATTGAGACTACATACTGAGCAAAATGAGTGAATGTACACTCTAAAATATGTCTATATACATCCGTATATAGTTCTTATTGAAATCTCTAAAAAGACATATTTGGGAACGGAGAAAATACTTACTTTGGTAAGAAAGTGCTCATTGTCGGAAATGCAACACCTTCTGCAATGCCAAAAAGCACACGTACGGCAAGCAACATAGTAGCGGATTGAGAGGCGGCCCATGGAGTGAGGAAAGTGGCCAAGGACCAGAGTGCAGCAGCACCTGCCATCACCTTCTTCCCCCCGTATCGGTCCGCCAAAGCTCCTCCAACCATGGATGAGAAAACATAGCCCCATAGAAATGATGACTGCAACAGTGTTGGGAAAATTTAACCTTGAGTCAATCAATTTGAGCATCACCAACCATGCACGATAAGCCAGTAAGGGGGTAGGTGGCTGTGTTTGTTTTAGCCTAGCTGCTCATGGATATCAACAATTTGCTGTGTTTGTTCTCGTCTAGTTACTCATGATTAATGGTTGTTACAAATGCTGCATTAGTCCATATATCACATCATCATACACTTGTTGAATGACGTCTAGTCAGTGGTGCTGCAATGGTGTTTTAGCCTTTATGGAGTAGCAACTGATGCAATCAATCTTTCTGGTCCTAGTAACCAAGTAAACAGTCAAGGGTGTTGGAATTTTCTGATATAATCACATCATCCATCAGATTGGATGTTTCAAGTGTCCAATTGTCAAATTTTAACATTGTACAAATCAGGAAAGAGGTAGCAGCTCTCAAGTTGCTGACTTGTCCCCATGTACTGCTTGCTAATTTTGGTTTCTGTCGCAAAATCGGCCCTTGAAATTTCCTATATAGAGGCCCCTCCAAGAATCATACTAAATAGAAACATGTGGCATGATGTTAACTTGGTTGTTGTTAACTTGGTACCATCAGGCAGCCTGGCTTAAAAGAATGTAATGAAATCTGAAGTTGATACATCATGCATCGTTGACTTTTGGTAAGAAATTTACAACTAATGGTTGGAACCTTTTTGTTCTTACCAAGTTCTTGCTTAAGGTCAGAGCAAAATGACATTCAGTTCAGTTTCTGCTAATGTTGAGGAGTAAATTAACATGGCAAGAAGCAGGCGGGCGTACCTGGACGATGCCGACGAAGGAGCTGGACCAGCCGTGCTGCGCGGCGAGCGGCACGACGGCGACGGACATGACGACCCGGTCGGCGTTGCACAGCAGCATGACGGCCGCCACGAGCGCCACCACCTTGGCCCGCTCGGGCAGCGCCGACACGCTGGGCACGGCGGCGGCCGCCGCGCCGTGGCGGACCCCCTCCAGGCTGGCGCTGCACTCGGCGACGACCTCCCGCGCGCCCCTCCGCCTCGCCCTCCAGCCATCGCCAACCAAACGAGCAACGGCAACGCCCCTGCCGCTGATACTGGCGGCGCAGCCGACACCTCTGCCGCAGCCATCCGCGCCTGAGCCCAATGAAGAAGAAGAAGAAGCGGATATTCGCAGGCTTGTCGGCTCCAAGCTGGCCGCCCCGACCCTGGCGGATCTGTACCTGGCAGGGCCAGCGGCCGGCTTGACGGACACGCAGGATCTCACCGACGCCATGATCCGCGCGAGGAGGGAACTGAAGCTGACCGAGCGTGCTCAGAGAGGCGCGGCGGAGATCAAGAAATGCTTGGTGCAGGCCATGGTAATTAAGGAGTACGAGGCAGACAGAAGACAAGTGGTATATTTGTGTATGATTGATCAACTGGGTTAGTTGGTGGTATAAATTTAGGACCTCGGGGAGGACGAAAGGTGGTAGGTCGGCGATCCTAAAAGATCTTACTCTAAACCACTAGTATGCACGTTTATTTTCGTCAGATTTATTATTGCCTCACCTCTTACTACCCCTTTGCTGGCTTATTTTTGCCTCATCTCTAATCATCCCTTCCGGACAACCGCATTTCTTCCCCATATATGGTCTGAGTTTATGGAAGCCCGGACTTTTAAACGGTTGAATTTTAGTGAGCCTACTGGACGCTCGTTTGATGTTCGAACACACTCGGACATATAAGGGAGAAATGAGTTTTGACAAGACGACTTTAATCATTTGTTTGTTCATTTATATATGCATTATAGTTCGGGGTTTCGCTTGGCTTCTGAACCCCTCACGTCGCTCCCGCGAGCGACCTAGGAGAAAACCCTAGTCGCCGGAGTAGAGTCCTCCGCCTCCATCCCCTCGTTGTGCCGGTCTGCGCCGACGGGCAAAGCATGGCTGGTGTTGGCGGCGTGGGAGGGGGGGCTCTCCTCTTCGTGTGTTGGGGCTCGGCGCGGCTGGCGATTCCATGCGGGGACACGGCGCCGGGCTAGGTTGCGGTGGTGCTGGGCGAAGCTCGGAGGCAACCGGTCTTCGGTTCTTCGTCTTGGTCGGGGAGGGTCAGTCGCAGCGGCAGCTCTCGCCTAGTTTGGCAACGGTTGGGCGGGGCACTGTCCAGATCCGGCCCATCAGGATCCAGAGGAGCCCCGTGGTGCTTGGCCTTGCTGTTCTTCGAGCTCCAAAACTTTGATTTGTTTCATGCCGGCCTTCTCGATCTGAACACCGACAGATTCCGGTCTTCCTCTCGGATATCTCAACTTTTGACACATGGCGTCACTGGATATTTAGATCGGAATTGATCCAGTCTGGCACGCCCTCATCTTCGGCCAAAGAGGCTTCATGAGGGCGTGGCGCGAAACTTCGTTGTCTTGCCGGTGCCATGGGGCATGTATGAGTATAGTTTTTCACGACATTGACAGTGGTGAAGAAAGTCATGATGGCTGAGATCAGAGAGTTGTAATGGCGGAGAGGAGTTTTGGTTGCGTTAAAGAATAGCGGCACAAGTTTTTTTCCTGTGTGTTAGGTGTTGAGGACTTGCAGCGGCGGCCTTGGCAGAAGGAGGCGGCGACATAGGTGAACAACATTTTTGGGGGTACTTCTCGAGTACCAAGCCACGATCTTTAGAGTGAAGGCTCAAGGTCTGGCGTTCTTTGGTTCTACCTTGCAATGGTCTTGCGAAGGCATTGTTTTGGAGATCTCGGACTCTTTCCAGGGTGAAAACTCAAAATCCTTGATCGTGCGACGGCAACGCTTATGCATTGTTTTCTTGTAGGCGTCACTTTTGGAGAACCTCTTCTGTAGTTCAGGCGTTGTCTTTGGTGGTGGTTAGAGTGTTGCTATTGCAAGTGTTCCATCACTGTGACGTGGTCTTTGTTTTTATATTTCTTTTTTTACTATTATTGTTCTTTTTTTGAAACTACTTTTATTGTTCTTAATTGTGCATCTTTGATGTCTTTTGATATTTTGTTGATGTAGAGGCTAAGTATAATTGGTATCTTTACAATATTAATACATTACCTTTATAGAAAAAACATTATAGTTCATAGCAACGGACGGTGTTCTAATTCCAATTTAAAGCGGGCGGGGTTTTTTGAGCATCAGTACAGACACAAGCGCTCATATACACGCGCATACACTCACCCCTATGAACGCACACACGCACACTCTACCCCTATGAGTACCTCCGAGAGACTGAGCCGGCATATCATTTTGAGATTTACGAAGTCACCGTAGGCGCCTCGTCGTCGACGAGAACGTCTTCTCTCACTGAAAGTGTATCGCCGGAAATCTTGAAATAAATCCAGAAATAATGCGAGCATCAGGATTTGAACCTTGATGTGTTGGAAATAACCAACTCAATCATAGATTGATTCGCGAGCGGGCGGGGTTGTTAGCGCTGATCGGCCTGGGGGGAACGGTCAAGGCAATTGCTGCTGGGTGGCGCCGTCGCGCGGCGGGTGCGGTGGGCACCACCTACCGTGTGACCCGCCGAGTCGCCACCTACCCGGCTGGCGTCCGAGCCAAAGCGGCAAGGCGAGGAGGAGGAGACGGGGGCTGGGGGCGGAGAGTCAGGGAGCTGATGGCGACCGCGCCATGAGAATGGAAAACGAGACTGCTAACCAAGACCGGACTGCTGATCCAGGTTGACATTTCAGATTCAGGGGTGGGGACCCTCAAAAAAAAAAAAGATTCAGGAGTGGGGCGGGGAGGTGGTGCGCGTGTGCCATCATCTGGCCAGCGGTGCGGCTGGTTCGGGGAGAAACGTTCGGTTTTGCTTTGACCACCAACCAAACGTCCAAACGCAGGCTCTCTTTTTTGCTGCGGTCAATCAACCAAAAACGCGGCCGGCTAACGTAAGACATGTGATTTCACCATCTTTGCACACGGTTGGAACGGGAAAAGGTCAGGTGTAAACCCACGTCTGATTTCATCATCTTTTATTTTCGGTGAGTACGTGTTGCAAAGTTTTTAGTGGTTTTGACATAGCGCGGCATATTATGAGAACCATTGTCTATCTATGCCCACTCGAGTGATTAGGATCAGTACCAAGAGTAAACTTGAAGCAAAGGAAGATCTAATTGATTACTCAGCGGCTTGTAGCTAGGCGGGGGCGCGTCCTCTCCCCTCCTGAGCGAAAGCTGAGATGAGCACGTTGACGATGAGTTGTCTACGGTGACTTTGTAAATTTTAAGATGATATGCCGGCTCAATCTTTTGAAAGTGCTCATACGGGTAAGGTATGTGTGTGTGCTTTATAAAGGTAAGTGTATGCGCATGTATACGAGCGCCTATGTCTGTAATGATGTTTAAAAAAAACTGAGATGAGCAGTACACACGCCTACATACATAGGAGTACATATCTTTGTTGTCGCGCATGCATTTAAGTCAGTATAACAGCCCAAGTATAAGAGACATTGTGTGACCTTAATACCTAATGGGATCTTTTGATGGACCAACAAATGTTGTCTTGCCCATTCAATAGTAATTGTTCAAGATTTCCGTTTTAGAACTTTGACCTGACCCAACCAATAAGGTTTGAAACAATGTAAATTTACTTTCTCGTGTCCATTTCCAAAATATGGTTGGTGAACATCAACGTCGTCGTTGACGCCATCCCAGCCTACACCATGGCTGCGCTCAAGCTTCCCCCGTCTGTCATCACGGCTCTCGACTTGCTGTGCCGCGCCTTCCTGTGGAACACGGCCGAACGGGCGTCTGGCGCCCAATGCCTTGTGGCCTGGGTCGTGGTATGCCCGAGCAAAAGTGAGGGCAGGCTAGGAGTGCGTGATCCACGTGCCCAGAATAATTGTCTCCTTCTGAAGATGTTGCATCGGCCCCACCCCTCCCCCCTCCCCCCGTCTCGCTGGACGTCCTGTGCGTTGTCCTGGACGCGCCTGGCTAATGGTGACCACTGGGCATGCCTCAGCAGCATGCTGCCGCTCTACAGAGGGCTCTAGCGGGTGCTGATGGGGGACGACGCGTCAACCTCATTCTGGGATGACCACTGGCTCAGTTGTGGCCCCCTTCGATGTGCGTTCCTCGCCCTGGCCTCGCATGCATCGACTCCTGACCCGTCTGTCCTGCTCGTCTTGCTAAAACTTGACTGAAAATTTCAACCGCTCATGTAGAGATAAAAATATTGCATTGTGCCAAAATGCAAATTGGAATATTAATACATACAAGACTATTCAAATTCTTCACTGGGAAAATACATCAGAATATCCTTTTGTCAAAACTACTTCTATGGGATTATATATTTATTAGTTTTGCTAGCAAATAAATGCACAGTTAGATAAGTGTAATGGATAAGTATTTGTGTTCGACGGCTTGACAATGTGCACAATGAGGGGAACTTCAAAATATAAAAATGAGCACAGCGATGGAGCATGTATCACTACCTTTAAGCTATAATTGTAAAGTGCAATTTACACTTTTCCACACAAAAGGTGCAATTTACACATTCCAAAGTTCAAACAAAGGACAATTCAAAATCTCTTAATCTTGCAACACCTCGTAGCATATCAAATACAAAATGGCTAACTTGGGCTCAGGGGCTCCTCAAACCCAAAATGTCAGTGGAATTGGAAATTATGTGTTAGTCAAGACCGTATTATCGAAATGGTGTGTTTGACAAAATAAACTTATCCTTCCGTTCTCGGTTATCTTTGTCGAACAAGGAATATTTTTCCCGGCAATGCTCTAGGCCAAGTCGAGTTAGCTATCAATGTTTGATAAGTTCTATGTCAGCAATTCTTACAACCACAAATGTTGATTATACTTTGTGTACTTGATGTAGGTGTTGGTTCATTTGATGCAACTACATAGAGATGCATGTTCTGTTGCAACTGCACTCCGCACGAAGACAATTCTCCAAAGTTGTCTTTTTTACTAAAATAAAATAGTTCCGGGCCTCCATCTGATGGACAAAAGCAATACTTCTGGCTCTCCCGAGGACATTACCGAGTCTTGGAATTATGCAAACTCTAGCTTTAACCCTGAGACCCTTAAGCATCGAAGTTTTCCTTTTCCATACACATCCCTATTAGGGGAAAGGAAAAAATTCAAAAGGACAGCTAACAGGGGAAGCAAAGGCTCCCAAGTATTGTCAAGTAGAACTTATCCTTGAGGTCATCTGAGAGTACTGTCGGGGTTCCTCATTCTAGATTAGTTGCAGACAAGTCACCTAGTGATGATGTGCATACTCTAACAGAAAGAGATGCGAAGAAGCCACTTAGTGGCTTTGTGGA